ATTCACAGGTTTTCGACCACAGTATGTTACGCACCTGCGATGACAGAGAGCCGCAGGTCTGATTTGGCGGATTTGCATCAATTCTGACCAGGAGCTGCCTGGTTTGGGGTGAGCCGTAGCAAACCATTGAGAACCAGAAGGTGCCCTCCCACCATCAGAGACAATGCATGGCGCTCGTGCTAACGCCAATCGAGAGTTGAGTTTATAACCTGTAGACCAGTTGTCCCCCATGGCTGTTTTATAAATAAATAGTTTATTCTCGATGGGAGGAGACACACCAGTACAGGCATGATCAAGTGGTTGTCAGAAACACAGAGAAATACAGTAAGCGTATGTACACCAAAGGACGGAGGTAAGTGTTGGCAAAGTACATGACTCGAAAAACCGTACATAATATTCGTATAGGAATGTTGCAGGGATGATGGGCATGTTCATTGGAGTCAGATAGAAATATGGCGCGGAAGCGCGGTAAAAATAAGTATTTCCGTTACAGAAATACTGGGTGGGGGTTCAAATGGTTCCGGATTTTGACCTCCATTTTTTCGTGGGCGTAGAAACCAGATAGAATGTTTGATAGACACCGTTGGGCAAAAGGCCAAAGTTTTGTGTAGGTTCCTCGCAGTTAGACACAGGCAGACAGCCACTACACATCCAGGAAAGCACTAGACGGCCGTTTCGTCCTGTTGGGACTCGTAAGTAGCGCGCACTCCCCGAATCCAGCCGGATTCGGACCTACGACCTTACTCTTGCGAGTCAGCGACTTATATCACTGAGCCATGGGCGACGGCAGCGGACCGCCACGACTGATATCTAACTGCGATATAGCGCGGCTCATCCTCCGTATGCATATGAATGTCGGGTATTGGGGTCGTTGCCAGTGTTAAGCAGTGGACAGTGATTTTAATCAGTGGTGAGTCACATTCGCCACGTCGCAGTGTTGTTAAACGGACATTTGTGGCTTTTTATAGGGAGAAAGCTTGCCAGGTGAAAACATACCACGTCCTGAAACACTGCCGTTGACAATAAGTTGAATAGCAATGAGCAACGCTATTTGAAGACCGATTTTCTGCACGGTTAACCGCAGTCATGGCGCACCCGATTTTCCGTTGGCTGAGCGAAAAGCTTAGTCAGGATTCACCAGTAACGATTGGAACCGGCGGTAATGGACGGAGATAGGGTTATGAAGAGCGGGATGCAGAGTTGTGCAGGTAAGCAAGTCTCAAAGTAATGAAGGTGGGATATTTTATGCGGTATCGTTGGCCAAAGAGAAAACTCACGGGCCAGGTGGGTGTCGCAGGAAGGTCCAGGAGGAACAACCATACCACGTAAGTGGAGCGCATGTAGGGAGATAAAGCTTTTTTGGGGAGATGTTTCAAAGGTAAAAAGGATTTGAATGCAATTGCTCAAGCCGGTAGAAAACACCGATCAAGGGGTTTGCGGTGATCTCCGGAATACAGGTGTGGCCAAAAGCATTAGTACAGACTATAGTCGATATTCATTCGACAGACATAAGATCTTCGGCAGACCATACCGACGAGGTGGGCAAGGTATCCATGGTATAATAGCGCCAAGTAGATGAAGATTCTAATATTGTAAGGGAAGTAATCCACTGGCAAGGTGGACGAGGCATACCGCCATGGTATTGAAAGTAAATAAAAACCTTGCAGATAGATAAGGTGCTTTTGAGGTGATGTTCCGAAGGTGAGAAGGATTTGAACACAATGTTCAAACCAATGGTAGATATGGATCAAAAGGCTTGCTGTATTCTCCAGAATACAGGTATGGCCGGACGCAATAGTACAGACCATAATAGGTAAACATCCAAAGAGCATAGGATTGACGGCAGAGGGTCATCAATCTCTCTCTAATCTCCGAAGAGGGTTGGAATATTGAGTTAGTCTGAACCCTAACCAATAACCTATTCGGTATGAGTAGCTCTGAAGGTATGAATGGGTTTAGGTGTTGCTCTTCCCAACCCAGAAACGTCAAGACCGGTTTCGTCCTAGTTTGGAATCAGCAAGTAGAGATAGCCTGAGCTGGAGTGGAACTCGGGGAATAGTGATCAACGGCTGACGCTTTGATTATTATCCCACTGAGATCCGCGAGTAATGCTTGGCAAAGTGGACAGGAATAAAAAGTTAGGTTTGGATTGCGATGCGCAATCTCCGTTGAGACACGGGTTTACTTTGGGCACCTAAGGTAGTTGTAAAGTGCCACCGAGAGTAGCTCAATGGATCACGGAGGTACGCAAACCACCGCATCACCTTAACATCTAGTACACATCAGGAGAAGTGACAGATGACCGTTTCGTTCTATTGGGACTCGTGGTCATTGCGTATGCATCCAGAAAACCTGTGGGATTCGAACCCATAAATATGCTAGTAAAGACATCAGCCATACGCCGGTACGCTGTAGCGACGCTTCGCTGTCACACAACAACCACAAGACATATGTGGGTTAAGGATACTGGGAGGGTGGTCGGGCCCACTAAGCAGACTCGAATCTGCGACCTGCAGGTCGGCTACGGGTTGGACAAATATCCTCTTATGACGTAGTGAATCAAGCTACTGAAATGAGTGAGGATGACGGACGATTATGATTTAGCGCTGCATGCAACACGGCATGCTCAAACTAAACCGTTGCATCCTAAAGAGTAGGATTGGCCCGCAGAACTATCAGCTGTTAGAAGGGAGGTATAGAAATATGTCATGATGGTAAATATGGGGCAGCAAGTTCCAAGTAGGTAAAACGACTAGCCAGCTTTTATCTGGATGTGTCACAACTAACCGAGTGAACATGGCTGAGACGAATACCCGCAAATAGTTCAAAATTTCGCTATCGTTTTATGACAACATAAATACCGCGAGTAGAAAACTATGCATAATTGTAGAGCGATGTGCGCAACGCCGATTGGTTGAGGAAGCGCCAAGGTGGTGGGAAACCGAGAGTTGGAAAAGAGTTAGCGACATTGTTAATTATCTCGCGGTTGGGAAGGTTGTCCCCCATAGCTAACCCAAGAAGAGAAAATTTGTGTTAATCAAGAGGGAAAATACACTTGATCGAAGAGAGAGAACTGTTCATCCGCGCCCACTTGTAGTCTTTAGTCAATAAGTCTGGCCCACAAAGGAGTAAAGGGGAAGGGCAGGTTGGGAGATATGACCGCGGACGCTAGTTGAGGCCAGACACACAGACTAGGAACACTCCATGCATTTCCCTCGGCGATGTGGGATGACAAAGTTGCGACCACGGTTGGCCAGAGGTGGATTTAGGCAATCACGGGAATTCTCATGAATAGAGGAATTTGGTGAGGTTCAGTTAGTGCAAGCCAGATAGACCAACTACCAATCCGGAAAGGCATCAGACGGCGGTTTCGCCTGCTTGGGACTCGTCAGTGGGGCGCATTCCCCTGGTCCACTTGGGAGGACTGGACACGTGACCGCTAATGGCTTGTAGCACTAGGCACTAGCTTAAGTCAATGAGCCATGGTGGATGGGTTTGCTTTCCACTAACTCCGGTTACGGAACTGCTACCAATTCGACACTGATGATACGTCTACAATCAAGTTGTCCAGCTCATAGCAACTAGAAAGAGTGGTGTTCACACTGTAAGGGAGGATGGCGTACTAATCCGAAGGAAAACAGGAGTGGAGTTCAGGCTCAGTGGGATGTTGACCACGAGATGGAGGTGATCGCATGACTTGGTATAGGTGAAGAATGGGATTACGGTTCATTCGCAAATTGAGATTGCATGTCGTAATCTATACACACACATAACGGTATCCCAAATGAACTCATAGTGAGTGGTTACTCACTGTGAAAAGCATTGTTCACAGTGAAACGATATGGCAATAAAGACATTGGCAGACAGACTCTAGTCGTGGGTTTTAGTCCCGGTTCTGCTATCCCTAAGTGAATGGCGCAGCAAACAAATAGCAGACCGATGGTGCAGTGCAATGTTACGAACGAACAACCGCTAACATATACGGAGAAACTGAGTTTAAACCTCATTTCATAAGACAATTCAAACGAGCATCGCCGCATTAGGCAATGGTGGGTAAAACGTGGATATCTTAGACGACGCAATCGGGTTAGTAAACGTAAAGAAGGTAAAAGAGAATATGGGCCATTGGATAAGTAGCGTTCATAATATACACAAATTAGCAGAAAACGTGTCAGAGCAAATATAAAAGACTCCGGTTATTGGCAGGACCCTAACGGCTGGAAACAAAAAGAAAGAGATGTACAAAAATCATATTGAAAAGTAGAAAAAGTATGGAAAGCAAGAAAACAGAAACAAGGGCCGAATGCTTCGGAAATCATCCTGTGGCACAATAATCATGTCTGGGACAACTTAGAGACAGACACGATAGGGCAGGAATGGGGAGGAGACTTTTAGTCTGAGAAACGACTAGCGACTGAGTGTCTCAATGGGAAAAGGAAAAAATGATCAATACTGGTAAGACACCGGTCTCTCCGAGATGACAGAGAAGCAGTAGCGATGAGTTTCTGTACTGGACGATAGCCTACATTTTGAAGAAGTGGTGTGTCTTCATGCGTCGGAGAGGAATTGACTAGAAAAGGTGAATGAGAATCCCCCTCCGCGACATTTACAGCAGCAACTCATATGAGAACTGGGAGCGCGAAGGCAGGGGAACTAATCAGACAACTAAAACCAGGATGTTGTGCAGCCGAAGGTTGGACTCTTCACATTGTGGCATGGAGCAAGTAAAGTATCAGCTCTGTCGTGTGGTGAGCACTCAATTGGAAGCCATAAGACAATAAACGACGAAATGGGAGGCAGAGGCAACGGACGCAAGCGACTGGATGATTGTTGACATTCTATGGGAGAATGAGAGCGTTGAATGAAGAATTGGGATCAAGCGATAGCAAGTCAAGCGAAATGAGCAAATAGTAACGCAAGGCAACCAGGCTGCTGTCCATACACAAGCTGGTGTATCAGTTGAACTGCCTCATAATCCATCCCGAAAAGATCCATGCTGCTCAGGTCACATCGTCCACGGCACGTACTCGTCGCGGATGCACTTCGGCTTGCAAAGGCTCGCATACAAGACCTGTAAGATGAACAAGGTGGATAAAGTGTTCCATGCCATGAGGAAGTAGACAGAAAACGATCTGCTTTAAGCGAAACAGTTAACAGTGCGACGAATTATCTATCCCAGAGAATTGAACTGGGGCGTAGGGTGCTATGTGCGATAGTTGGTGAGCAAGAATAGTCGTGGAAATGTGAGGCTAATAGCCACCAACATGACCTTGCGCAGAAAAGAGTGCTGCTGGATTTTCAAATGGGATGCACCTGATCGCACAGAGTCAGTGACGAGTTTGAGGATCGCACTCGTTCAGAGTTGATGGTTCGAAAATACGTGAAAATAGCATCGTGCAATTTATGCCACTCATAAGCGTTGATAGAGAGAAATCGGGCTTTTGGCGCTAATGAAACTAAAGCAATAGTGCAACCTTGATAGTTAAAGAGCTGCTAGACTACTACAAACAAAGAACGTGGTATTTGACGCAGTGTCGGAATGCCCCAGTCAGTGGCAGTGAATGTGGCTGAGACCAATCAATGAACGCCGATAGTAACCAATCATCTCCTGAGTGCGGGTACAAGGTTACTCATTTTAAATAGGTCTCAAGGTCACTGGACGATGCACATCGAGCCAATGTTGTGATATGCGGGACTCAATGAAATGGCCGCATTATATTTTCGAACTTCCTAGTGAGTAGAGTAGGCAACATCCAGATTGTTGCATCAACCCTTGACGTACTTGCTCGCCGTAGCCGCCTTCGGATGAACTTGAGTAGACCCGTTGAGCGCAGTGCGCAAGAAGGGCGAAACATTAAAAAAAGACCAAAGAGGCGGCATATTCCATCCCGTCGAGAAAGATGAGGGGTACATACGAAAGTGTAGAAACGTCAAGCAGTCCCGTGCATGTGTCAACGGTCGCGACCTTATAGAAACAACCATGGCTTAGGTCGCGGCCACATGGACCGGTCCTCGTCATCTAGAACAAGGGTGTGAAATGATGAGTAGCATTCACACCGGCCAATGACTTGCGATGTGCTAAGTAGAAGTGAGATAAAGGAAGTTATTCCCATTGTGTCCAGCGAGTGATTCAGGAAACAGAAAGGAGAAAATAGGCCCATTCAGACCCACAACTGGTGGTTCATTAACACTTTGGACGACCGAAGCAGTGTTCTATACACTATGAAGCACAAGGATTGAATGGCTAACTTTGTTAGTAAAAAGTTAACGTCGAACAGCATCCTTCGTGTTGATAGGTTGGGTAGAACGAGGCCAGTTTGGTCCACGTGCTTTCGTTTAACGAAGAAAGCACCGTAACGATAAAGCAATGGTTCATGTTGGACGACGTGCAGATGGCAATAGCGTCGCATTGAGTAAGCTAACCGACAGAAAGCAGACCGTGACCTCCACGGTTTGACCGGCTGCGATAGTCCATGAGCTGTTCCTCATGCTCATGGACGGCTATGAGGTGGCCTACCGCATGCTCCATTCTTGACTAATGCTCAGACTGAGGACAAACGCATGGCATATTTAAAGTTCCACAGTCTTGACTCTTCATCACTTGGAGATTGTAACATTCCTTGGGACTGCAGTGCGAACAAAGTATGAGAATGAGTGAACTGGTAGCTAGCCAACTTACCAGCAAGGATTTCGTCCATTATGCCATCACCAGTGATTTGACGAGTTCGGTTCTTCAGCCGTCGTTTCGCTTGACGAGCCTCGTTAGCTAACTGACGCTGAATAGATGGAAAGCGTGGAAACAAAAAATATAGGCTAGATAGATAGTACAATGCATGATACCACTGATCAGCTAGCACTGCGTATTGGCAACAGATAAGCGCGATCGGTGGTTGGCACGACGAAACGAAAGGAAACCAAAGTGAAATGCATAAAGCAAAATTGGATCGTGCGAATCGCGTCACTAGAAAGCGAGTGGTCAAAGCCACACTATTCGGCAAGAATCAGGGAAGCGAACAGTCAGAGCGCTCGTTCGACCAGCCAAGCCGACTGAGGTAACTTGACGAACGATCAGTGTATAGCATCAAAACCTGGATGAGTTTGGTGAGGTCCCTATTGCGAAAGCGAAACCAAGCAGAAGAACATCATGCGATTTGCATCCTATAAAGTGCAATTCTGTAATATCGGAGCAAAGGTAAGAAGTGAATTTTGACACTTATACTCTTTATTTCGAGCAAACTAAGATGTTTCCGAGATCCCCCACTATAGCAATGATTTAATCAGTGAGCTGGATGGCTCTTAGTGTCTTTTTCAGAGTGTTTTGTGAGTTAATTCTATTGATATTCGCTTCATACACATCATTCATTAGGACAGATTACATGCTCACTTGGTCAGACAGTGACGTGTTACGGAGCACAAATCCAATCGATCAGTGAGAAACTTCGAAGTTGGGCATCTTACTGAGGTCAAAAAGTAAGTACTATGCGAATGCAGAAAGAAGCACGATCGGAACCAGGTATGCGCATCAGATCGACGGACAAGTTTGTATTGGAGTGCGTCACTTGCAGCTTATGGCAACGTAGCCAATCAGAGTCCGGAAAATCAGTGGATGTTTACGCCGAAGAGCGACGCTATTGAAGTGAAGTATTCGCTCGGCACACTGTTGGAGAAACTGATGGCCATAACTATTCTGGTGGGCACTGACTCAGGAACGGCTTCGTAAACGCTGCTCCGTGTCTGACAGACAATAAGCTGGAAGGTTCACGGCAATTGCAACGAGAGTCCCAAGTGATGACCATGAGACTGTGACCGACAAGTGTATTGCGGTTAGTCAAGTCTTGTCACCACCGTTGGACACACGTTTTCCAGTAATGAATTAAAAGATCGTGGGTGGCAAACAATGGTTCGCGGATGACCGTGATGGTGGACAAAAATCGCCGCCTTGACCCTAGACATTCAGCCAGACAAGTTAAGTGGAGACAAACAATAACCCATCCTCGAAATGTGCTTCGCGCAAGTGCACACACACAACATCAATGAATGGATATGGGCTGCCTGAAAACAATGCGCCCCACGACCGATTGCCGATATATTCGAACGCATTAAGTGGAGATAGTAAGCACTCGAAAGCGGAGCCTTTGGGATGTTAGTCAAGATCTCTAATCCTAAGCCACCGAGTCATTTTAATGAGAACCGCGTTTCACATTTAATTTGCGCGTCACAATCAAATCACATGACAAATACTTTAACATTACCCTGCATTCAGTCATCAGCTGTTGTGCAAAGTGTTGCGCGTCGTGACCCGGCGGTTTAGTGATAACGGTCACAACTAACACTCGAATGATCCAGGGGTCGATGCCTGCTATATTTATTTGACGTGAGCAAATAATTTCGAAACGCGTTATGGAGTGCAGTTTTCGAGCGGCTAACACTAAATAGCATCAGTTACAGTCCCAGGAATCGAACTGACGAAGCTTTATTTCAAAGTGAATGGCTGTCCACATGGAGATTCCGCGCCGCAATCCATTAACGCGACAAGTGCTTCCAAATGATCCTCCAAAAGTCAATGTCATGGAGAGCATGTTAAGTGAGGGGGGGGGTGAAGAAAATGAGTATTTGTTTGCGTAGTAACAGAATGCCGCCGGAGAGTCGTGGCAAATGAGTAGCCGAGAGAGAGAGAGCAGACGAATAAATGGAGTAACAATTGATTTCACAATGCAGAAGAAGTGAGCATCGCGAAACGAAAATAGCAAAATGTGAGGCGAATGCCTCGACACAGTTTGGCAGGCATCTGTACGCAAGCCGTCCCGAAGAGTCGACAAGAAGTACGTTAAAATAGTGGGGGGATAAACTCGGTGGTGTGTAGATGATAAATGAGGCGCGGTTGCCACACAAACTGGCCAGGCTAGAGGTCGGCCAACGAAATGACGAAATAAAATGTGAGGGAAGGTAGTCAGTGTTGTTAAGGTAATAGCACACCTACAAGCTTCCTTACTTAAAATGTAAACGCATCGCAATATCCTATACCATGGTACAGAAAAACAAAGTGCTTGAAGCCCATGGGTTTGGAACAAGGTGCTCTACGTAAAGATTGTTTATAGGGGTGAACATGCTGATAATTACGAGAATCAAAAAACAGTGAGCTGTTAATCTACTAAACGATGTAACGTCAAAGGAGAAGGTAACGTTGCAACGGAGATTCTCCACAACCACACACAATCCGAAGGACACTGCACATCGGGGAAGCAACTACATGGTGTGTCGTGTTTAATGGAATTGCCAGTAATGCACAATCCATCTGCTCGGTGAATATCCAGAACCTGCGACCCCTTACTTTCAAGCCAGCAGTCCGGGAACGAGTGGCAGTCACTGTGGCCAGATGATTTGTTGTAGTGTAGCATACAGCAACCCAAGATAACCCACAATGGCATCGAATAATGTCGGCTCAGCAAAGAAAGTCGTGTTTTGGGGAACAAACCCTGTTCTCCATAACTTGCAAAAACGCACTTGGCAGTGTCTCGATGTATCACAACTAGTCGCTTGTTCATTGCAGCGGTTACTCAACTCGCGTGACCTAATAGTCTCAAGCACTGGTTCGACGGTGAATAGTCTCGAGTTCTAAGCTCTTACCGGGAAGACAGGAAGCGCACCATCGACGACTGCCGAAAGGAGGAAGCGCCCGTTTGGTGCTTTTCCGGATACGCAATAGCCGCGACGAATCGCCCAAAAAACTAATCCAATTCGTTGCTTTCACTAAGGTAAAACGTTCGGACAAAAGTAGAGAAGAGAGTTGTATGCCACTTAAAGAACGCGTAGCGTCAATGACCTAAGCGCGAAAAGTAGCCCGAAATACCGTCGATTGCAGGAAAGGATACCATGCAATGTCCTTGAGAAGTGCACTGTATGTTCACAGAAGAGTGAAAAATAGAATGCACGGAAAATCCCTCAAGAGAAGGAATCATAATCCAGCAGAACATAACTTGGTGACCTCATTAAGTGAAAACAAAGCGTCCAATCTGTGATTGCAACCGATAAATAAAAGTAAATCATAGATAAGAAACCCTGGAAAACGTGATAGGCATAAGACAAATTCCACCCATATGTTAAGGGTAACATAGGATAGTATCAAACCAAGAGAGTCCAAGTAAATTAGACGAAAGGCAGCTCCATTTGCATGGAGCATACACATGTCATAGACTTGACTAGAAAGTCTTCTGCGTGGGTCGTGTCCAGAGCAGTGCGCACACACAAGGAGCGCGATGTATCACAGTGCAACAACCAAGGCTTGGACAAGAGTGTCAGCGTACGTCATATGTTTTGGCTAATTTTTGTTTTAGAAAACCAGTAAAATTTGCACGGACAAACAATATCCTATTTTAGAGAGAAGTAAAGATAACCTAACTGTTGCGTTGGATTGGCTTGAATAAGGGAAAACTGTACCGACAGAAAGCTGCGAATATGGTAAGGAAGATCAGTACAGCTTTCCGGGATTCATCATCAGCATGTATTCCGATGACTCGTTTGGCCAAGCAACAAGTCAAGAACCAGATTTAAATGAGCGCCAACGAGTGTGGGGTAAAAACAATCCAGATTGTCTAGTTATTGTGAAGCGGGTGTAAAATAGCCAGTGAAACAGTCGATACCAGATATAATCAAACTTGATGAAAAATCAGTAAACAAGACAGGTAGGAGCGGCAGCTATGAAATACTCAACCCAATCAATGCAGCTTGTGCACCCTAGGGGTGCTGAGCAGAGTAATATAGACATTTGAAATACGAGGGTGAGACGAAATAGGGGGTGATATTTGAAAGATTACATACCAAGTGTGTGATGGGAACGCAGTGTAGTACACGGTGGGCATTTGGATGTCACGGCTGTGGGTGAGGAAACAGTTCGTTTTATTTCACTTCGCAAGGGCGATCCAAGTAGGCTTCTAGATTCGGCAGTAGCAGGGGAATATGATGTTTTTGAGAAGATTCGTCGCATCCAAACGCATCCAAACAGCCACCATACATACAGGAAAGATCTAGACGGCCGCTGCGTCCTATTGGGACACATCAGGAGCTCGCACTCGAGGGATTCAGTCGCAATCGAACCGTTGAGCTTAGTATATCTAACCAGTGACCTATGCACTGAGCCATGTGCGACGGCGACGGACCGCCAGGACTGATGCCAAAATGCGATATAGCGCAGATAATCCTCCATTATCATGAGCGTTATGAACGTACAGGCCGAGGTTGGTCCCCAGAGCTATGATTTCCTTTGCAAGCAGCGGCACGTAAACCAAAGCTTGGAACATGACTGCTTAAAACCAAGCGTGAAACAAGCTGCAAACAGAACCGATGAAACGAACTTACAAGAGTCATCGACCACCATCAGATCAAACGACAACTATCAGTTCGGGCGCGTGCAACAAATGTCATGAGGGAACGATTAGCGTAACTAAGCAAATGTCATCGATTGCGTGGGGCGGAATCAAAATGTGAAAAATGTGTAGGCAGGATGACAGATGACTTAACACGGTCGATTCACAGGTGATCTAGAGACATACGGTGTCTAACCAGTGGTGAGAAGTTTGTGCTTGACTGACGCTTGGTACGGCTTACAAATCCAAATGACAGCAGACGCAGTGGAGAGCACGGAAGCCAAGGGACCAGTAGAGCGATAGGAAATCAAGGCAAAGGGAGTAGGGAGATTCAAAAAGCATCTAACATTCATGTGGAGCAGAAACAAGCGAGGTACCGAGTGCAAATCATACGCGAGCCAAATGATCTAACA